AATTGGTAGAGCAACCGTTTTACACACGGAAGGTTAGGTGTTCAAATCACCTATTCTTTACATGCTTATATCATTATGGATCTTATTATATGTAGGCTAGTATATAAATAGGCATTTATAACTACATCGTCTTTTATCATAGTTAATATTTATGTAGCAAAATAATTACACATAACATTTAAGATTAGTTTACTATACCTAATATCATTTTATATATTTTACAATGCTCTTTTTCAAATTTAAATGGCTTTAGTGTTAACTTTAGGTTTTGCATTAGGATTAGCCAAAACGTACAATCTACAGAAAAGTCTATTATGTGTTTGTTTAAGTATAAATAACTTATTTTGTATTAGTATTATCTATACAAAATTAATAAAAGGAAGGTTCCATTTGTTGGTATGATGGGTTGAGCTGTAAACTCAATAGCTAAAGCTGTCGAAGGTTCGATTCCTTTTCTTCCTAAAGTACATTATTTATAGCCTTTGTAGCTCAACGGTAGAGCGGAATACTGTTAATATTCTGATATATGTTCAATTCATATTAAGGGCTTAAATACATTAGTTTTTGACACAATAAAAAACGTGTTAGCTTAATGGTTAAAGTATTGTGCTACGGACACAATTGATGCAAGTTCGACTCTTGTGCACGTTTTATTGTTAATATGCTGGGGATATGTTGTAAAAGGTTTACATTTTGATTGCAGATCGAAAACTTGGGGTTCAATTCCTCCGTGTCTCTATAGGTTAAATATATACAACTCTTACTAGCTTAATGGTAGAGCAGGATACTTCTAATATCTGGATCTGAGTTCGAGTCTTGGGTAAGAATTTGGCATTAAATTATATCTTATAATATGGATTGATCATTATTATTATATGTTTATATAAAGTTTTCTTTTCTTCATTATTTTTTTTTTTCATGAAGAAAACAATTTATCGAATATTTTCTGATATTTTTACTATTTTGCACATAAATACTATAAACATTAATTACATAAACAAATTTATATATCATGACTAACCTATTTACTAATTTTTTTGTTACTTGTGATGCTCCTAGACCATGAGGTCTTTATTTCCAAGATAGTGCTAGCCCTCAAATGGAAGCACTAATCGAATTACATGATAATATTATGTTTTATCTAGTGATAATATTATTTGGTGTGGCTTGAATATTAGTTTCTGTTATTAGAAATTATGTTAATGATAAATCCCCTATTAGTAATAAATATCTTAACCATGGAACACTTATAGAATTAATTTGAACAATAACTCCTGCTTTAATATTAATTCTAATAGCCTTTCCATCTTTTAAATTATTATATTTAATGGATGAAGTAACAGACCCATCATTAACAGTGTTTGTAGAAGGACACCAATGATATTGAAGTTATCAATACCCTGATTTTCTTAACGATGATGATGAAGAATTAGAATTTGATTCATATCTAGTGCCTGAATCAGACTTAGAGGATGGAGCATTAAGAATGTTGGAAGTTGATAATAGAGTTATCTTACCAGAATTAACTCATGTTAGATTTATTATTTCTTCTGGAGATGTTATACATTCTTATGCTTGTCCTGCTCTAGGTATCAAATGTGATGCTTATCCTGGAAGACTTAATCAAGTCTCTGTTCTTGTAATCAAGATAAGAATTTTTCAAGTGATATAGATTCTATGACAATAGGCATAGAGCTATGTAAAATACCACATAATTCTGAACATTGTCCAAAAAATGTTCCTTCTCTGTTTACAAGAACAGAGACTTGATTAAGTCTTCCAGGATAAGCATCACATTTGATACCTAGAGCAGGACAAGCATAAGAATGTTGGAAGTTGATAATAGAGTTATCTTACCAGAATTAACTCATGTTAGATTTATTATTTCTTCTGGAGATGTTATACATTCTTATGCTTGTCCTGCTCTAGGTATCAAATGTGATGCTTATCCTGGAAGACTTAATCAAGTCTCTGTTCTTGTAAACA